ATATAATTTTTAACAATCATACATAGTTAATTGTTTTTTTTTGTTGCAAATTCAGTGTTCATTCTTCTCCCTGTTGCTTCACCATTGTTCTGTTAGCACTTTGGTTGTTCTAACTGCAGGACAGTCTGTTTATCATAGAGTGAAGGCTCTGTCAGGTCTTTACCCTGGCCTTATCCTGTGAAAGTTTTTAAAATTTATATCTTAAATAATGATCTAAACCCTAAAAATAACAATTTCATTTAGTTTTCTCCACATAAATCAATGAAAAACGGAGCTACAGTTCTGTAGAGTGGCTGAAAGTGTAAAAAGGTAAATGAAATAAGAGCGTTTCGGCAGTCAGTATAAAAGGTACTTGGAGAGAACACTGAATACTAACACTGCTGGCTTAAACTAGTTAAAATGCAATGCAAATCAAGCCACTTTTGATTCTACTTTCAATATTTGGATGTCAGAGGAGTTTAAATTTTTTCATTTTTAGTTTAATAGAACTTGATTTCCTCAAGACTGTCAAGTTTCAAACAGTTATGAATTTAATTTCTAGGGAGCCAAGTCAGAAACGTATCAGCTCAAGACAACCATATAATTGCGTCCCTATAATCCTCACTATGCATCACTGGACGCCTTACAGTAGCTTCAACCTGTAGGAACAGGAGAGGTGGTTGCTCACCATGTGGCCATGGATTCGCTGCAGTCTGCAAAGGGACCTCAGTCTGGAGGAAACAGTCGTGACAAGCATTAATATTTACACAGGCTGGACGCATAGCATCTGAAAACACTTTATTTCACAGACTCAGAATCAGTTTACTCAATTAAACTTATCTATAAATCTGTTGCATTCAGCCAAGAGGAGCTGACCTCAGACTTAATTTCAACCATTTACTACCAAGATATTATTACATGCATATATAAATATAGTAGCTAATATCCTAGTGGAGTCAACCTTCCAGCATGTATGACATTTTATAACAAGCTAAGTTACATAATGTCAGCAAACTCGGAGTGTCTGTAAAGTGACGGTTCGCCAGAATTATCGACCTTCGCCACAAACCTGTAAGCAGACGTCAAAACGGTTAAGGACATTATTTTCTTTGACTTATGTCGTGTGGCTGCACTTTCACAGAAGATTTTCTTTGCTCTTTCCTTGCTCTGTTGTTTCTGCGTTGACTTCCTGAAAGAGACACCGAGCTATACCTGATTGGTCAGTATGGTGACGTCACGGAGGCGTAGGCATCAACGAGGGAGATCAGTCCGCGCGCAGTTTCTGCCACACTGCCACCTACTGTGCACAGGAGCCTCTCTCACTCATGTCCTCTACACATTTATTCCGCTACTTTCTATAGTTTATGTCCACTCCGAGCAGTAGTGACAAACAATAATGAAAAGAACTCCCAGGTCAGCATTTAAACAATAATGTTTGGACAGTGTTTATATCTGTAATTCACCACTAACAATAAAAAAAGTAAAGGTAACTACATGCATTAACTCAGCCACTCTACTTAGCTTTTAGAGGTAGCCTGCTTGCACTTTTCCATCCTCCACATTTAACAGGAAAATATTATGGTTGTTACTTTACTTCAGCTTACTAACAGTATGTAAAGTAGTTAAAATTAGCTTTGCCTCAGTCAGCTACAACACTATAATGTTTTCTAACACAGTAATGCATCAGTGATAATAATATATCATAGCCTAACACTATAACAGGGGCCACTCTGTACAATAACTACTTTTACCATTGATCTTGTGAGTACATTTTATTGCTAATAATATACTATACTATACTATACTATACTATAGATACTATACTATACTGGCTGTTTTTGTCAAAAAACAGAATCTGGGTGCATCTTCCATCAACCACAAGAAGGATAAGAAAAATGACATTTTAAAAACAAGTAATGGTGGCCCTCAAAGACTTGAACCTGTGTAAATGGTTGGATACCATAACAACATTAACAAGTGTTTGACTGGACAAGCTATCAGACTGAGATTAGGGTGACTGCACTGGCAGTTCCAGGGTGTGTACTGCTCAGTCAACCTTCCCTGGGCAAACAAAAAGGGCACACCTTGGTTACATTAGCCAGAATAGCAAATTAGTGTATTAAGTAGAATAGAGCCAAAATAAAATTTAAAAAAGAATTTAAAAACAAAACAAAAAACAAAACAAAAACAAGACATTGCATTGTTACTTTACTTGCATTTCACATGCACAGAAAGTATTTTTTTTATTGTTTTTCCTCACAAACACAATCACGAATACAATAATGCCTATAATGTGTCTCTTCTACTACATCATACCATGTCAACAAATCATGACATGGCTGAGCTAAAATAATTTTTAAATATCCAGTATCATTGGATGTTGGATTAGCTGTCAGGAGAGAGTCAGAAACCGTGATTACATTTTGAGGTACATTTTTGTGAAAAATGCAGGTATTCTTTTTTTTTTTTTTTTTTTTAATTATACCTGGAGAAATATTTGAGCAAGAACATTTTGATCAGAAAATATGGTGGGAGGATGCCAACTTGTGTTGTTACTCTTCCTGTCCAGGCATCTTGATTTAGTCAGAGTCGCTGCTGCAGGAGCTGCTGGAGGCCTACAACAGGGATGAACACAACACAGAGACATCGGTGAATCACTTCAATCATTTACAAAACCAATGTGCAGCTTAAATGAATGGCTAAAGGTGTGGTATACCTAAGTAACATTGGACCAATAAATACAGCCTTTCTTTGATTTGCCGTGATAAGGTAATGTTGTATTACACAAGTATTTATGTTCTATAATTCTTTGAATTGTAAATAAAACCGCATTTCTGTAGCAAATATAACCAACATACAATTCATCATATTTGACAAAATTACAGAGTCTTACCCCATGACAGTCTTTTCCTTTCTTGTGACACTTGGCATGCTTGTGACCATGCTTATGCTTGTGCTTATGCCCATGTCCATGGCCCTGTCCATGTCCGTGTCCATGTCCATGCCCATGTCCATGCCCATGTTCATGTCCATGTCCATGGCCAGGACCACAACCAGGTCCAGGTCCATAACCAGGTCCAGGTCCATAACCAGGTCCAGGTCCATGTCCATGTTGACCTCCAGGTGGACCGTAGGGCTGAGGAGGACAATGGGGTGGTGCAGTGCCTGGAGGATGTTGAGGGTATCCCCCTGGCATCTGCTGAGGATGGTTTGGGTAACCAGGAGGGTACTGGTTTCCTAAACATAAAGAGAAAATAGAAATCATTAAATTAATGCTAAGTAATGTATGAAATGCACTTTAATCTGAAATTAAATTGGTCATGTTATTCACCTTGGTTGTGTCCGTACATTTTGAAACCTCTGATGAAACTACAGATCCTGAAAGCAAAAAAAAACCCCACTTTAAACAGTTATATGTAGTTTGTCTTTTAAAACACCCAAACAGCCATTTCCTATTTAAGTACCTTATAGAGGTGCAGATCCTCAGGAGAGTTTTAGAGGTGAACTTACCGTGCGTTGGAGAGCAGGTCCACAGAGGCACCCGTCACCTGCTACTCCTTTTTATGTGCAGCCCACTTCACATCACTGGGGGGCAGTGCCTGAACTCCCATCAAAACAGTTTTGCTTTTTGAACTGAATGGGCGTGGGTGTATGTGTGTATAATTCTTAACACACAGTCAATATGAAGCATAGTTTAAGAAATGGATACACATCCACCCACACAAATAAAACTTGAAATTTTGTTGTGCTTTTCTGTTTAAAAATCAGGTTTACAACTTGTCTTTTTGCCTAGCAAACAAAGATGTTCCATAACATTTACAAATACATGTTGATCTTGAATCGCTTTTTTCATTGCATTGCTTGATAAGATATATGAACGACTCTTATCAGACAGAATGCAATATGTCCGAGTTTAAACATGACATCGGTGAATAATGTATTAATCACTGTACGGTACAGTGCACAAACACAAAGTTCCAGTGACTGGGGTTGGACCAGAGGTGCCCTGTGTTTGAAAGTTTGGGACCATACAAGGCAGCGCGGTAGCAGAAGCAGCAGTTGCCAGTGTGAATTTGAAGTAATCCATGGGTGCAGTGTACTCGCCTTCCAGTTTACATTCACTCACCAGGCTTCTCTGACTCACTGTTGTATGCACTAAAGAGAGGAGCTGCTGGGTTGTTATCATTCTATCACAATAATCTAGTCAGGAGGAAAGACCTCTAAAAGTGCTTTAGTTTTAGAAATACCTCCATTGGAGGTACAGTAAAAGAAAGCATGTATTTTATATTCTCTTAGGTCTCCCAGATATGAAATGGAGTCTTGTACAAAAACATTTCACTGCAAAAATGGTTAAAGTGACAGAAATTGTGACTCTGCCCATAAATAAAACAAATGCAAAATAAAGTGAGGCTGAATGGGAGATGATACACCTGAACTCATGTAATTTCAGGCTCTGACTGACTGGCAGTGGATTCCTCTTCATGTGTGAAAACAAAGAATGTTAATCTCTTCTTGCACTGAGGAAATACAGTAATGCAAACACATAAGGATAATGAGCAGAAATTGTGAAATGGGTTTACGTTTGACATTTTAATGCTCATACTTTTGTATTTTTATTTAAGTCTAATTCTGAATGCAGGACTTTTACCTGTAACAAAGTATTTCTGTACTATTGCTACTATGAATTTAGTAAAAGATCTGAATATTTCTTCCACCACTGTGACTGGCAGACCAACATTGCCACCTTCAAAGCTGTGGGTTAGAAACACAGATTTGTTAACTTAATTACTTCAGCATTTCTATTGAGATACTCTAAGAGTCTACTCCTCCACCTTCCACCTGCTATACTGCATTTTTACCCAGGAGGGTCTCTGTCATTTGCAGAGTCCACCCTACCCATTAATCAAGTGATAAGCAGAGCTGAGGGCCCCCTGCTTTCCGGGGTCTTGGAATAACTGTTAATTTGACCACTTTTGCAGTGAAATATTTTAAATGAGAAATTATTTCATATGTGGGAGACCTCACAGAGTATGAAAGACATTATTGTGCTTTGTTCCACCTCAAGATTTTTGATGCCTTCCCACTAGCCTCTGTGTGTCAAAGATAAAATGGTGTTATTAAAAGACCAGAAATAGCATAAATAAAAGCTTCACAGTGTTTACGCAGGTGATTGGTTGATGTGAGTGTACTGAGGAGCGGCAGGGTGTGTAACTACTAGTGAAAAGCACTGTTGAGCAAAGGTCATAATTCACCGCTCCCTGGGTAAATAAAGATAATATGAATGCACACTGATTGATAACACAAACAGTGTAATAGGAAACTATGAGGTCAAATGAAACAGGGAATAAAGAGGCAGGGCACAGGGCAGTTTTATGTTGTTAATCACAAGAGAACAATTATGATCAGAGTCTAATACATTAAAAGCATATAAAAGTCCTTTTCAAAAATGCAACACTGCCGGTAACTTGTCAGAGGAGAGCCAGAGGGTAGAGCTGGGGAGCCGATACATGTCTTCAGTTCTTTTCATTTCACGATTTTTTGGCTTAAGACTTCATAATACATTCATGTATGACAGATAAATCAGACTCAAATGGGGTTCACTAAACCTCTCGTTACATTTGTTAGCCCAACATTCAAATAAAAAAGGAAAAAGAAAAACAAAGACCAAAAACAAAGCATAACAAAAAAACTCCATGCTCTGAAATGCAGGTGGTCAAATAGGCATAACAGTCTATTATTATATACTGTAAGGTAGCAGAATGAAGGTTTCCTGGTGGTGACCTGTCTTGTTGCTTTCCAGAAATTGTCATCTAGTCCGAGTCGCTACTGCAGGAGCTGCTGGAGGACTACAGCAGAAAAACACATTGCCATTTCATTTCGTAATGACATGTCAATCAAGTGATTAATTAAGTTAAGAATTCATAATTGAATGATATAATCAATCACACTGCAAGAAATGAATATAGTGAAATGTTAACCCTAACCGAGAATTTTTTCACAAGGGGTAGCCAGATGTGGCCACTGATGCATAGAGACTAATACTGGTACAGTTAACATTTTGAGTTCCAAAAACAATCCTGTTTTAATGTGTTATGCATCTGTGTATACATGTGTTAGGAGTTTATTGTTCTTTAAATAGGCTGGTTGTCCTTCGCCTTAAAAAATTTGAAGGAGTACATTGATTGTAAGGAACAAAACATTTACCTGGAACAAGCCTACTCAAGTTTAGGGGAGACTTGTGGGTACCCATAGAACCTGTTTTCATTCACATATCTTAATGTGAGAGTTAAAGGGACCCCTTTCAAAAATTGCCATGCCAGTTGTTCCCTCACGAAAAATTTGATCTAACCTTGGGGCCTAATTAAGTCCCCTTAACGACAAGCTATGCCGATACGGTTGGTACCGATGGATACCTTATGTTTTCTAGTTTCCCCTAGTTTTACAAGATACCACTACCTTTGCACTAGCTTAAAGCCACAGTGTGTAGGAATTTCTCCCATCTAACGTTGAAATCATATATTGTATTCAAACAGATGGTGCACTCTAGCGCCTCACTGTTTCAAACGCATATTGCAACAACTGTAGACGTTGTGTACCAAAAAGCTATGATAACACTGATGAAACCATGTCATCCGATACTACATGGAGTATTCATTCAGGCTCCTACACAGACACACGCGACGCGAGTTGACAAATCCCTTCCTCACCATGCTGGCTGTGTTTACAACGTAGGCCTGTTGGAGTGGATGTAAATTGAAACAAACCAATCACGTCTTGTCCTTTGACAACTGACAAGTGGCTCAACCTCACACACCTCATCCCTCTCCTCGCATTACTGTGCCGCTAACAGCTGTTAGTGGCCAGCGGCACTACTGCCGCATAACAAAGTCCCACTCTTTGAGCATAATGCAGGATCATGTATTATGCAGCATCACGGGAGACGGAATCCTCGTCGCCAAGAAAGTGCAAAAGGGAATCAAAAAGGCAGCGTGACCGGTGAATTAAAAAAACAAGGGTCAGCATTGGGGCTGCCTTTCCCTGGTGGAGAGAGCTGCTGAAGGAGAAAGGTAATACAATCACAGGCCAGAGCTAACAGTGGCTAACAGTGGCTAACAGCGGCGCAGTGATGCGAGGAGAGGGATGAGGCTGTTAGCGACTGGCCGCTAACAGCGGCTAACAGCCAACAGTGGCGCTGGCCTGTGATTGCATTACCATTCTCCCTCAGCAGCTCTCTCTACCTGGGAAAGGCTACCCTGATGTGGGCCTTCGTTTTTTTAATTCGCCGGTCATGCTGCCTTTTCTATTCCCTTTTGCGCTTTCTTGGCGACAAGGATTCCATTTCCTATGATGCTGCATATGCATGATCCTGCATTATGCTCAAAGAGTGGGACTTTGTTTCAAATTTGCCAGGGTAGTAGCGAAGCGCCTCTTGCTCCTCTCCTTCGGCTCCTCAGTCACGCAGTGCTGGCCTGGCTCTCAACAAAAACGCCGAAGGCGGTGTTGTATGTCCCTTGCTGGCGGGTGTATTCTCAAGATGGCGAAACGTAATGGAACCCCACAGAAGACTTACCCGCACAATGTACAAACAAATCCGAAATTCTCCTTTTACGAGAATAAGTCAGATTATTGGTGGAGGTAATAGTACACCAGTGATGACATATTTATGAATGCAGACATCAATTTTTGCCAATAAACAACTGAAAATGTTACACAATGTCCCTTTAAAGAATAAGCACGCCACAGCCTATTGAAGAAAATAATATAAGAATCCAATAATTTTCGTTAGGAAGGTCCGCTGGGGGGGACCAGCAATTGTATCAGGGAGGCCATGGCCCCCCTGGTCCCCCTTAGGGGCACCACTGGCCAAGACTACAACAAACTTTAACCATAGAGGTGGCATTTGGAAATGCTTAAACAAGCCATTTTTGGAACAGTCAAATGAGTTGCTTTGAAAGAGACTGACAAATTACTTTTATTTTGCCATTTTAGACTGAGGACTTGTTGGAAAGGCCAGAAAGAATCAAATAAAAATCCAAAAGGAGCCAGGACTGTTACTGACATGGCGAGACCTTACTAAATATCTTTTGAAGAAGCAAACTGTTGGACTAATGAAATTGCGAGCCCAATTAGAGTTATACTGACAGATGTTTCTATTATAATGAGCATCTCATAAAGTTTAATTGACATGTCTTGAAAACAGTTCCATGTCAGAGCCTTCTTGAAAGGAAGGATCTATTGCACAAGTGTTGTATTAGACTGCATAAGTTTTAGCTTGATGCACCTAATAAACTGGCAACTGGGTGTATACCTAAATTAAGAATCTTTTACAATATCATTTCTGAATAAACGGTTTTTCATTGTTTAACTAACTGCACAAATGTTATCGGCTACTTGTTGACATTTGACTGTGATACAGTATGGGAGGTACAATAGAGACTCCATGATTTGCATTTGACATTGCTCTATAAATGAACTGGATCTTACCCCGTGACACTCCCTTCCTCTCTTGTGGCAATGGCCATGCATGTGACCATGCCTGTGTCTATGGCCGTGACCATGCCCATGCCCGTGTCCGTGATGTCCGTGCCCATGACCATGACCATGACCACGACCACGACCGCGACCACGACCGTGACAGTGACCGCGTCCGTGCCCATGCCCATGCCCATGATCATGACCATGCCCATGCCCATGATCATGACCATGACCATGACCATGCCCATGATCATGACCATGACCATGATCATGACCATGACCATGACCATGACCATGTCCATGTCCGTGCCCAGGACCATGAGCATGTCCATGTCCATGTCCATGCCCGGGATCACAGCCAGGTCCATACCCTCCACAAGGTGGAGCTGCAGGATAGTACACAGGTGGACCACAAGGCTGAGGAGGGTAGGGTTGGAGTGGGACAGTGCCTGATGGATATTGAGGAAAGTATCCTCCTGGCGTCTGCTGAGGATTACAGCCTGAGGGATACTGGTTTCCTAGTCAAACAAAATGAGTGCAGCTCATTGTTTGTCTTCAGTTTGTATGAACATGATGTCAATTTTCTATTCAGAAAATTCAATGTTGAACAAAGTTCAACATAAAGAACAATGATGGGTCTTAGTAAAAGTTAAAAAAGACTGAGAATAAACAAAATTTACAACAAGAGTCATTTACCTTGGTTGTTGCCAAACATCTCTAAACACCAGATCCAAACCCTGAAACTGAAAAAAGAAACCACAATACACACAAATCCCCTCAGAACACAGGAAATACATGTCTTTTTCTGAAAATAAAGATATAAACAGTTGTAAAACCTAAAATGCTAAATTATTTAGTAAACAAAGCAGTTGCAGTCTACTGTGGATAAGACTGTGTGCTTTATAAAATGTTGCAAAACAAGAGTTCCATCATGCAGTTTGTAGTAAATATATCATCCATGCCTCATATGACTGTATACTGACAAAGCTACCCGTCACTAGGGTATGTCTTAATGATGGAAGACATAATCACAAAAATATGCATTTAACAAATGAAGTGCATGTAAGCATACACACAAGTATTCTATGGTACTTATGCTCAGATAGTTTGTAGTAAACTTACCGTGTGCTGGAGTGCAGATCCACAGACACAGCAGTCAGCTGGCTCTGCCTTTATTTGAAGCCACACCCACACATGGCCATCATCAGGGGCAGAGCCTAAACTTCCACCAACTATCTGTGTGTGCGTGTGTGTGTGTGTGTGTGTGTGTGTGTGTGTGTGTCCACTGAGTGTGTAAATATTCACTTGAGGTTTTGTCACTAAATATAACATAACAATATATGTTTTTGACACCAGATAAACAACAATGAAAATGAACAGTATAGTTAATTTTTTTGTTGCTGTTGTTGTTATGTTCTTTAATTACACTTTTCTCAGGGGCTTTGGTACATTTCTCAAATCAGAGGTGAAATTTTTAAAAGTACTTGCTCAACTTTCAGATCATCTAGTCACTTGTGCACATCATAAGAGGAACTAATTGCAAATTGGCACACTCATGCAAATGATTATGTACAACTGTCTGCTGTTGCTCAAAATGTATGATACTGGTTCTCTGTTGAAAATCTTATTTCCCAAAACATGCAGGCATTTGTTTATTGCATAAGTCATTCCACGCAAAATGGTTGAACCAGTTGTCAAAATATGTCAAGAATTTTTCTATACATTTCTTTTTTTTCTTTTTTTTTTCATTCGCTTTGGCATGGGTTTTGCTCAGCCTCCAGGAGAAAGTTTACACCAAGGTGCTGAACAAGAGGCTATGACTGATTGTAGGCCTTAGATTTAACAGGACCAAGGCATCGGTGGCTTAGTGGTAGAGCAGGCATGTCATCCCCTCTCTCTCTCCCCCCCTTTCACACTTAACTATCCTGGCCATTAAAGGCAAAAAATGCCCAAAAAATCTCTTTAAAAAAAAAAAAAAAAGATTTAATAGGACCACTGCAGATTCCGTCCTGGCAGTGAAACAGTGGACTAGCTCTTTATTCTTGCAGCACTGTTTGAGGGGCTGTGGGAGTTTGTCCATCCAGTCTACGTGTTAAGTGTACATTGAGAAAGCTTCTGACTGTGTCCCTCTTGGAGTCTTCTGGGGGGTACTTTGGGATTATTTGGTACCTGGGTTGTTGCTATGAGTCATGTGGAGCCGTGTCCGCATACTCGGCGTAAAGTCAAACATGTTCTCAGTGGGTGTTGGCCTCTGTCAGGGTTGTCCCTTGCCACCGATCCTACTTGTGATAATTATGGACAGGATCTCAAGGTGCAGCCGGAGGGAGGAAAGGGTCCAGTTTGGTGACTTCAGCATTTCATCTATGCTTTTTGCAGATGATGTGGTTCTGGTGGCTTTATCACACCGTAACCTCCAGCATGCACTGGGGCAGTCTGCTGCTGAGTGCGAAGCGGTCGGAATGAGAGTCAGCACCTCCAAGTCTGAGTCTATGGTTCTCTGCCAGAAAATGGTGGATTGCCCCCTCCGGGTTGGGAGTGAGTTACTGCCCCAAGTGGAGGAGTTCAAGTATCTCAGGATCTTGGTCATAAGTGAGGGTAGAATGGAGCATGAGATGGATCAGCGGTTTGGTGGGGCCTCTGCAGTGAAGTCATCTTCATGGTGAAGATATCTGAGCTAGAAGGCAAAGCTTTTCATTTACTGGTACATCTGCATCCCAACCCTCACCTATGGTCATGAGCTCTGGGTAGTGACTGAAAAAAAGGGATGGCAGATACAAACGTTCGAAATGAGTTTTCTCCATTGGGTGGCTGGACTCAGCCTTAGAAGCAGGATAAGGAGGAACTACTGCTCCTTTGCATTGAAAGAGGCCAGTTGAGATGGTTTGGATCAGGATGCCTCCTTGGTGACTCCCATTAGAGGTTTTCTGTGCACGGCCAAGTGGTAGGAGGCCCCGGGGTAAACCCAGAACACGCTGGAGGGATTATATATCTCATCTGGCCTGGGGATGCCTCGGAGTCCCCAGGAGGAGCTGGAAAGCGTCGCTGAGGAGAGGCATGTCTGGTGCACTTACCTCAGACTGCTTTCCCAGGCAACTCAGCCTAGGATAAGCATGGATGGATGGTTGGATGGATTTTGTGGTTAAATTTCTGTTCACTGTTTATGATGAAAGATCAAGGGTGATGTTTTTTGTCTACAGTACTTGTAACACATTGCTACACAAATAGATTTACTGTATACATACAAATGCACATATCCTTTGCTGTGTACTACAGTATTGTACAGTACTGACTTCTCCTAGTAAATGCTCACCTCTGTTGAAATCAGAGTCTAAAAAGCTCAGTGCAATACATATTTGCTTTCAGATGGACAAACCTGACATTCTTGCATTGTACAGCAGGCAGTCAGTGTCAACAGGACAAAACAGAGATTTGCATACAAGAAACACTTCATGGTGAAAAAACATCTAAACATTTCGACCAGTGCAGCTCACACAATAACAAGAATTTTAATTTTGATGGCATTGGCCAATTTGCTGACACGGTAACTGGTTTTGAAATATAAATAAAATGTTTTGGGTAAGTTACTACCTTTTACAGACATGCAACAGAGTTGTGATGTCTTATAAAACAGTTGTGACAGCAGCACTTACAGTTTAGAGAATATTAAGACTGTTTAAAAAAAATGAGCCAAAGCAATTGAGAAATACTGTATTTCATGGTTAAGACATTTAAAAAGATTTGCTGCATTGTAAGGAAAGTTGTCCGTTGTAATGTGGGTGAGAATCTGTGGTCCAGCAGACAGGAATGTCAGGTGTAGAAAGAATGCAGTAAAGTTCCCCATACAGCGCTGCACGTACAGCTCTGCCTCAGGGGTGTTTCCTATGTTTAGATTTCTAATTATCATAATTATGTGAGGTATTCTTTTCCTTTGTGGTATGCAGTGCTGTAAAACAGTCTTTTCTTTTTTCTATGTATCGTGATGACATGATCTGTCAACATATTTCACTACGCACAGTAAGAGCGTAGATGTGAATCCTGTCCAGTCTCTTGCAATCAGTCTCGCACATGCTGTACAATAATGTGTAACTTTGAACTGTTGAAATTGATATATGTCATACAGGAAAAAGTGCATTTTCAGTCATTGTCATCAAAACCTTAACCATAGTTTACATCAGAAAATACAGACTATACTGTTCTATTGAAAACATGCTAAGCATCTTGACTATCTCATTTATAAACACAAATACTTTGATGAAATGCACTAACTATTTTGCAAATGTTCAGGATCATTCAAGAAATGTATTAAAGTGACAGAGAAAAACTGCAACTAATTAGCAGTATTCTTTACCTGACAAACAAAATCATGGAAACACTTGAGCAGGTTTGCAGTAATTTGTGCTATATGCCTGCATTTGTTGATACTTTGTATAGTTATAGTATCTGTGCCAAAAAAGGGAAGCAGGCATACCACAGCTTGGACCATATTCTTCTCTCCAAAGATTATTTTACAAGAGATACCACACCCTGCTGCACTCTACACTTTTATTGTACATTTTTTGAGATGCCTGGTTGAAAAACTGGAAAAAGAAAGTTGTACAAAGGAGTTCCACCCAGGTGCATTAGGGATTCATAATTATGCAAGTAATTTCTATCAGATGTCAACAGATGTTTTCCTTCTATTCTGTTTAAAACAGTTAATCCAATAGAGTTTTAGATCTTTCTATGAGATCTGTGTTGACTGTTTTTGAAAAGGGTGTGAAAAATGTGCAAAACCCATAAAAACATCTTCACACCTTTGTGAGAGAACACCTCTGCTGTGCTGTTCTGCACAAATGGATCCCAGTTTCATTAAGTGTGTCTCAGCAATCAAGAAAAACTGTATTCAGCATTCCTGAGTTTGAGAAGTATGAAAACAAGACTAGGTCAAAACCTATACAACTGCAACAGCAAAGCCAAAAAGAATAATATACAAAAATCTGACTGTGTACAATGTTTTTGAGTATCTCTGTTTTTGGGTGACAAAGAATGCAGCATAAAAGCCGTACCATAATGACTGCTTATTGTAGTGCAACACAGGTCATACTCTAGGTGCTTACTGTAGGTCTTTTATATGTCAGTGATAGTTAATGGGCATAGACAAACCTGCACACAGGATTAAAATGAATGAAGGAATCTTTCTTTGATATTTTTTACAGTATTTCAACAGGGCATCTCAAAAAGTGTAAAAAGTGCAGATGCAGGGTTTAGTATCTCTTGTAAAATCATCTTTGGAGAAAAGAACACAGTCCATGCTGCCTGCTTGCCTTTTTTGGCACAACCATACAAAGAATCAACAAATGGAGGCATATCAAACAAATTATTGCAAGGTTGAACCTGCTCATATTGATAACTATGTTGTATTTTGTTGTCAGTTGTGTACTGAATGATTGAAAGACTAGATTACTTTGACCACAAGTTGTGTTAAATGATGGAAATATTTGCTTTTGCTGAATGTGTTAATGTTTTGTGAGTGTTTGACAGACAAAATGTGTCATTTTGGCCAAAGACTTTCAGTTCAGGCCTTTTTGAAAAATCCAACTTCTGAATGGACAAATGTGTTCAAACAAATAAGAAAAACTAGTAGTTACATAAATGGTACCTTTTGTTTGGTTTATGTTCGAATTCCTTGACTCAGATTTTATATGCAATTGACTTGGACCTAACAAAAGACCAAATAATTTCTTTGAGTGTATCATAAGCTTTAAGATGTGTGTCTCTGACAACCTCTGCTGCAGACAGCAATGCATATCACTATCATACCCATCTCCAGCACTGTCCCTCACAGATCCCAGCTGAAAATTATTTAATTTTTCTATGAGCTAAAACTTAATCAGAATAATCTGAAGGGGTACAGAAGTTGACAGAAGCTTACTTGAAAAATGCCATAATCACAACACAGAGTCCACATGCATGGCCTTAAACTGAAATCATTAAAAGCCAATACAGCCCACCGAATCAACAGGTTGACCTGAATACAGTAAATACAATGACATGCCTTAAGAGAGAGAGAGAGAGAGAGAGAGAGAGAAAAGTGCCACCAGTCAGAAAAGAGAACATCTCTGTTCTCACTAGGAACTTTATTACCTTAGTGTCTGACACAGAGATATGCAGTTTACATAT